GGGGGTGTTGGGGCGGGGAGGGATTGAAAAAGCAAGAGAGGGAGTGGAAATGAGAAAGGAGAGAAGAGAGAGAATCAAGAACAACCCAGATTGTCCCGCAATAGCAGTCTGTGGATGGCCAAAGCCTCACCCACAGCTCCCTGCTTAGCCAAACTGTCTGCCTCTGCATTTTCTTCCATCCATGAGTGCTTAAAGATTAATTGCAGTGAACTGGTGACTGTAACACTTGGTTATAAATCATCTCTAATATCCAGGGAACAGGGGTGGTTCTTGGTATGAAATAATGTTTTAGGTGTCCCTCAGGCCCTCTCCACAAAATGGAAGGTGCCCAGTTTCTTTTGAACTTAGTAAGTCCCTCCAATAAGGCCATTGTCTCAGCTTTGGTTCTATCTGCAGTCCCTGTAGGACCCTTAAATGTGAGCAAGACATGACTAGAGAAGTCTCTAAAGGACCTCTGATCCCGTATGGCCATGGTTTTGAAGAGAGAAATGATCGGAATTCTAGTTGATCACGCCAGGTTCTGGAGGGGTCCAGAGATTGGAGTGATGAGTATGCTTGGACTCAGTGTAGAGAATGGATTGCCAATTGTTCATGAAGTTCTCCATTGAGAAATATATCTTGTGATTTCTAGCCCAAAAAATTGCCTTGGTAATTATGTGGTCAAGTACACAGTTGGTATCCTCTTACGAATCTCAAATATTTTGTCATTTCGCTACAACCATATGGGCCAGATGGTCTCCAGAATGTGGCTCACCAAATAAACAGGTGTGAGGATGGGAAAGGGGGTAAGACAAAAGCCATAAAGCTCAACTGACTGGGGATCAACCAAAACCAGTCAAATCACATCAGCAATGAGGCCGAAATACTGTTCCACACTTTGCAGTGTAAGAAAAGGTGGTCTTTCATATCCTTGTCCTCGTTACACATAGCACAATCGGTGTGCAGTGGGATGCCTCTCCGATGCAGCTGGTCAGAAATGAATGCCGTCTTGACTAGGATCACCTAGTTAAAAGCTTGTATTTTCAGAGGGGCAGCAGAATACCAAGTTTTATTAGCGCTTCAATAGGGAGGGTTGGAGCATTGTGAACATGTTAGAAAGAAGCCACAGTGAAAAATACCACTGGCAGTCAATCTCAGGATTCAGACCCTCCTTCCCTCCACAAGTGAGAGATAATTAAGGATCTTAAGGTATTGCATGGGGCAGCGATATCTTGAATTTTGTTATCCTTAAGGACCCATTTGGATACCTGGAGATGCATTTCCAGGAGGTCTCTCTATGAAGATCGTCGATCTCCCGTGTTTGGCTCCCAAAGGCGCTGTGGAGCGGCATCTCCCTAATTTGGGCCGAAATTTGAGGGGACCGTTCTTCTTGAAAAAAGTTGGAAGATGCCTCTTCAAGAAAGCCATCTCCATCCCAAGCCGAAATTTCAATCTTAATTTATCCTGAAGGGATATGGCCTGATAAAAAAGGTGACTCCACCATATTAGCAGGAACCCCCTGTTTGTCTCTCTCGCTGTCTACCATAGGTTGCAGAAAGAACATCTCTCTCTCTCTCTCTTGCCACGCAAAGCTCTCTCTCTCTAGCCAAGCAAAAGTACCTCCCCTGCTCCTTGCTCCTCTTTCTTTCTTGCAAGGAAGAGGACATCTAGCTCCAAGAAGCTTGGCTATGAAGTACCTATTCAGCCACTTTTCCATTTATTTTACTTATTTAGATTTAAAGCTGTAACAGAATGTTACAGGCCATTTTTACTTTCCTTTGGGGTTTTCACTCTCCTCCTTTAATCAATGCCATTTTTTATACCATTTCTGATAACATTCTCTCTCTGTCTCCCCATTTTATCCATCTTTCTCTTTCCTATTTTAGTTTATTGTTTTTAGAGTAGCATTATGCTGACATGCCTCCAAGGCACTATTGCTCTCTCTCTCTCTCTCTCATCCAGTGTCCAAGTAACCAAACATAAACGTCTTCAAATTTGTTTTTTTTCTCTTTCTTGTTGACATGAAATTAGAAACCAGCTAAGACATGGTTGTCATGTCTTCTCTCACATAAATTGGCCATGCACCCACTTTTTTCTCTCAAATTCATATAATACCACAATATCATGTACCCACATTGTTTGTTAAAGATACTGATCCAGATCATGTAGTATCCTTTTGCCAAAATATCACTATTACAAAATACGCACTTTGCATTATTCTAAAAATTCATGTCCATATCCACAAAATGCCTAAATTTCAAATCATGTCAAAGTGTATAAGTATGGGTGAAAGGCTTTCAGTTAGAAAATGTGTTATAGAAAGAATTAAAGGTCACCATAAGCTACCCTGTTTTTTGGAGAGTGAAATTGTAACTGTGCAACCGAATGTGATTTCCTTTCGATAGAAATGGAGAATGGACAAGGAGATATAAGGAATATTCTTTCCACAATTTCTAGTGAAAGGAATTTTATCGAAGTCCTGACCGAACATGCTCCTTGCGTGGTGCATCAGCCTTCACACATGGTGGCCTCACCCAACTAAGATCTTTGTTAATTTTTGAACCCATACTCAGATATGTGAGGGAGGGGGAAGGGGAGAGAGAGAGAGAGAGAGAGAGAGAGAGACCATATTTATATATGGGAGGGAGGGAGGGAGCAAAAAAATGGTATAAAATTGCATAAAAAATATTCAATTTTGTATAGAATTATTTTAACTTAACAAGAATGAGAAAAAAATAAAATTAAATACTTGGATATAATCAATTTATGAGAAATGTATGTTCTAGATGAGCCAAACAGTGGTGATGCGACTCTCCGGTTCTTTTGTAGATGTTATTTAAAAACCTTACAACCATCTTCTAGGATAGACTTGTTAAAGGAGAGGCATCTCTCTGGGTAGTCATCTCTCTAGGAGATGCTTCTCCAGATATCCAAACAGGGCCTAAGATTCACTCTGAATCTTGGAGACTACACCACATCTGCTCTCTGGTGATTTCATAGAATTGGGCTACTGTGGCCTCTTGATCAGCTGCTATATAGGATAGTTGTGGAAAAATGAAGCCTAAGTGCTTTCCCAATCCACCAATTCTAACCCTATCCCAAATTCTGATCTTGAATCTTATATTTGAGGTAAACTGCAGGTATGCCAACGGCCAAACCATCCCCTTCCAAGCGCCAGAGCCATGTGCATATGCAGTGCCACTGGGGAGCCAGCCTGATTAGTCTAGCCCACATCTGTTTGCGGCATACGCTTGTGAGTGGTCAGCACCTTGGAAAGTATTTTATAGCAATTGTTTAACAGGCTGATCGGCCCGAAATCTTTCAGTTCTTGGGCTCTGTTTGCCTTAGGCATAAGGGCAATGAAGGTAACCCCGTTTATTGTGCCTCTTGTGGAAGATTTCTACAAACAAAGCGAGGATATCGTGAACCAAGGTATCCAAAACTTCTGGAAAACAACAACAGGGAAGCTGTTGGGTCCCAGCACTTTTTTCTGCCCCAGCTCGGCCACCATCCTTTGGATTTCTTGTTCTGAGATAGGTCTCTCGAACCCTTCTGTCTTGGATTCATTGGAGGTTATATACACATGTCATTCATCTGGGCACTTTGCCGTGCAAATATGATGCAATGGTGTTGATTGGCCAAAAAGGGTAAGCACACCCTGACATATCATCCTTTCATGCTGTTTATTAGACTAGAGGAGTCCACTAAATTGTCCTAAGGCCAACCCTATAAGGGTATTGGCCTGCAATCTGCCCCCCAGTCTATGCATGTAGATGGACACAGCTAGAAGCTGGTAGGTAGCACAGAGTTGGATTGGCTTTCATAAACCATTGAGTGTGGGAGAAAAAACTCAAATTTCTCAGATTGAATATTGAACTTTAATAACTGGAAGGTATAATGAGTTATCAACTGCAAATTCTGTCTCGGGCTTGTGTGTTAGTTATTCCTGATATTCTTATGGGCCTCATAAATACAAAACATCATACTTTTGGTTCATTTGCCATACTATATGGAATGCTAAATCTTGAAATAGTATAATATCAGATGTTAACCTATCGAAAACAGGTCTGAATATTGATATATTTATACGCGTAGTACTTTTTTATATTTTTAATATATTTACTGCCATATTTAAGAGTTATCTGAGTAAGTTTTTAAGTTTGAATGTGTGAAAGTGTAGTAGACTTAAGAATAGTTGGTATTTATGGTTCAAAGTGATTGCACTTAGCTCCTATTTTCCAGCGAGGACATTGGTAATTGTATCCTACTGCGAATCTATTTACTTTTCAATCTCTACTTTTGAAATCTGAATTTATGTAATCCATTTGTAGAGCTTTTGACTTTAATTGCATGGAAAATCTAGTCTTGTTCTCTATATTTTCAAAATTTTATATAGAAAGTAGTTGTATCACTTCCTATGTTTGTCTTTTAAATCATTGTAGTGATTGAATTAGGTCCTCTACAATAATATGTCAACTATAGGGTATGATACGGTGCACAGTTAGGTATCTGCTTTCATTCAATTTGTCTGCCACATGAGTGATTGCTTGTCTACTGTATATATTATGTAGGTACGATCTGCTACACTGGATACATGGCTTCCCGAGCAGGTGGCATTTATTCAAAGTATGTTCGGATAATCCTTTCTTATGTTCAAGTACAATGCCATTTTAGGAAGTTAAATTGCATGTAACTTTGGAAAACACCTCTTTACATTAGATTTCTTGATTTAACTTTCTGGTTTCTTTGTTGTAGCAATGGGAAATGAAAAGGCGAATAGTTACTGGGAAGCAGAACTTCCTCCTCATTACGATAGAGTTGGGATTGAGAACTTCATTCGTGCGAAGTATGGTTCTCCTAGGAAATGGTTACTTGTTTCATTGCTGCATGCATGCATACACCATAAAGAGTGGGCTCAGATATTATAATGTAATACGTATAGTTATCCAGAAATGGTCATTTGGGGATAACTGTTTGCTCTATAAAATACAACTACTCTGATGTTATTTTTTTGAATTGTGGTATTGATCTTTGAATTCCATCACTAAAAAACTATAGTTTATTTCATTATTCCATGACTTGTGTGGTTTGTTAGGTACGAAGAGAAGAGATGGGTTCCAAGAGATCCGCCATCAAAACCTGCTTCGAAAGTGCAGGGAGAGAAGGGCTCTGGTTTTAGACAGCGACCTGTTGACAAAGGTGCCTATGGTAATACAAACAATCGTGATCATTTTACTGAAGAGGCTCAGAGCATTCCAGCTCACACTGCAAAAGAGCAAACTTCAGGATCTTCCAGAAAAACTGACCAGGTGAATGGATTCTTAGTAATTTCTTTGCTATTCTCTCTATTCTTTATTTGTCCACTCTTTCATGTTTGGATCTTCGCCTATCTTCCTTCTGTCCATTGCTATAGCTATGTATAGGGGCCTGTGCATAGATATGTTATATATGTACACATATGGCTGCACAAATATGTACGAACACATAACATATATGTATGTGAATACATATATACACTTGCATGCAAGTTCATGCATGCACAAACGTATACAAGCATTCTCCTAGAGGTACACACACACACATTAAGCAATATTGCTTGCAAGCATCTGGATTTCAGGATGTAGCTTTTTATGGCATGGTATTTTTGTGGGAATTTAGTATGCACAACATGATTTATGGTGACCTTTAGTTTGTTCTCAATTTTCAAATGGTTATGACTTTCTCATTTTAATAGTTGCCTTTAAGAAATCGATGCCTCTGATATTTCTCCCATTTGGTTGTTTCCAGAAATTAAGTCACTGAGGTATATTTGCCCTGTTTTCAGTAATTAGAAACATAACCCCCATTCATCTTTGCAAATTTTATAGATTGACAAGATTATCCTTACAGTCAGTGTTCAAGAACTTGGCTGGGTTGACTCGGATTCGGCTCCTTGCCAAGCCAATACTCGGGTAAATATCCGGGTTATATATAAATTTAGAAAATAAATAAATCATAAAAATTATGATGAATTGTAAAATCACTGTATAAATATTTTATATGTAATTTTAATGTTTTTTGTGATTTGTAAATGTTGCTTGTCATATGCCCTATTTTCATATTTTCCTCTTTTTTTTTTTTTTGGGATTTTTCTGAAATATCTCCAGCTATCAATGTTCAATGAGTCGGAGGTTGCCGCCTAGGCGGTGGGGGGCTGGGCCGTCCAAGCAGGCCCCCAGACCCAAAAAAAGCTGATGATTTTTTTTTTAAAATTTGGATCCTCCACACCTCCCCCAATAAGTAAGTTTTGTAGGTATTGGCTTCTTATTACAAATAGGAAGTGACATTGACCCTTTAATGTATTGGCTTCTTATTAAGCCAAAAACTTAAATCTTGGTAAACCATACACATCAAAATTGCAATGATATAACACAAAATCGAAAAAGAATATCACATGCAATTATTTAATAAGCATTAAGCAAATATTAAACTAACTAATAAAATAATTATGCTTTATGAATCATACATTGAGAAAACACATTACACATACAATTATAAAATATAAAATAAAAAATACAAATAGCAAAAAATAACATCATTAGACAATAAACATTAAGGGAAAAAAGTACAAAACGTAATGAAAACTATTGAAATATACCAACCTTCTTGAAGTGGACTCGATTTCGGGCCAAACCGAAATGTTTGGGATCCCAAATCTCCCCTTTTACAACTCCTATAAGCCTAAAAAATATTGGGGTTGAATATCCTTTAATATTGTGACTATTCGAGGATTTCGAAAAAAATTCGATCTTGCAAAAAATCTTCAAATTTAGTTTTCTTCAAGTTGTTTCTCACTCTAAAGTTAGCTAAAATTGTTTTTCGGGGAAAGAACCCGAAATTGTTTTTCTGCCATACTCCTGCAGGCCGCCTAGGCAGGTGCCTTTTACCGCCTTTTCAATAGCCTAATCGGCCGCCCGACCCCCTAGGCGGGCGTCTAGTTCTGGCACCTAACAGTGACCACCTTAAGAGCACCTAGGCGTTTTCTCCAGAAAGCCGCCTAAACGGTCGGGCGGCCGACTTTATGAACATTGCTAGTTATAAATCGATTTTTTTTAATTCCATGCTTTATATTTTTTTCCATGTTATTTGGACTCTAAATGTTTTTAGTTTACTTTATTTTATTTTTTACAATTTTTTTAAATTTAAATTTTTATTTTTTAATATTTGTTTCTGCCCTGTAGACTACTCTTGTCTTTTGCAAGCTCTGAATCCCGAGCCTGAGCCAAGTTCTTGAACATTATTATGTTTACAAAAAACTTTAGTATTCAGTAGGCACATGGTTAGTTGTGTCTACATTTGATACAGACACACACACATTTTAAAAGTAAAACAATCTATCCATTGCATCGAGTTTGAGGAAATTGAGGATCATCTCTTCCTGCATTGAACTTTTTTCAAGTCTGTTTGGTATTTCTTTCTTGGCTTTCTGGGTTCCCCTGTTTTTGGTTGTTGTGATTCACACTACTCATGAGCTATTGGGCCCTACAGAGTGGTTGATTGATTTGGAAGATATGCCCTCACACCAACTTCTGAAGCAATGGGGCCGCACAGATTCATTGTGGTACCTTAAGCGACAGTGAGGCCACTTGTTAGAGAGTCTCTATGCCATTGTCTCTTGGAACATTCATCAGTCTAGAATTATAAGGGAGTCAGACCTTGTATCTGGCAGGAATAGTAAATGGTGTGATGAATGGTTGTTGAACATCTCCTTGATCTCAATTTCAGTGACCTCTACCATAAGGTCCTTTTAAGCTTGACTTTGATGGGAGCTTCTTTGATAATCATAGCCATTTTGGCGTAGGAAGCACTGTGGGACTATCGGGGTACCTTTCGATGGACATATGTCCTAGATCTCTTAAAGCACATACTATTTAACATTGTCATGGCTCTCAAGTGACCAATATTTTGCTCATGCAGTAGATAGAAGGGGCATTCTTAAATTAATGATATAGCCTATGCACTTGGTTCTGTACATCTTAATTTGTCTTATATAAACTGATACTGTTATATAGCTAGGGTGCAACTTCTGACTTTTGACTAATCTTATGATTTCTATACTGAACTTGATGGATTCATTGGCTGTATCGATGTATTCTCCTAAATCTCTTCCATAGGTTTCATAACAAATGTCTCCAGAGAATAATTTTACCCTTCAGTGTGATTCCTATTACCCAGATAGTATTTGTCATTGTCAAATTTAAGCAACAAGTCAGCTAAATAGTGATGTTTGAAGAAAGGGGAAAGAAATTGTCCTTTGCTGTATTTTTTTCCTTTCCTAAAGGCAAGAGATGCTTGAAAGTTTTGGAAAAGCAAATCCAGAGAACCTATTAAATTTGATATGAAATTATAAAAAAAGAAGATAATTTCGCCATTTAGTCCATTGTTGAAAACAGCAGAGGGCCATAGTACATTTCTACAATCTATATTTCTACAATCTATAAATATCTCTATGTGAACAGTTTAGAAATTAGAACTACTTGTCTATGTCCAAAAGTGATTTTTCTTGCCAGTCAGCTATGGCTGCTTGAATGTTTGCTTGTTGATATATTATTCTATGTATTCCTGGCTGATCATCAGCAAATCGAGATTTGTGAATTGGAAGAACTTTGATTAGCTGATGTTCTCTTTGCATAAACAGAGCCCCTCTGAACAAAAAGCTGAAGCTGTCCACCATCCACAAGGGGACTCACCACCAACCGATCATTCTACAGCCGATCCTGCATCTAAGAAAGTTGATGTGGTCACTGATCTTTTTGATATGCTTTCCACAGAACCCCCAGCTGAGAATGGCTCAGATGCATCTTCTCTAGATGATAATTTGTGGGCAGGATTCCAATGTAAGTGATAAATGGGTTTCTAAGTGAATTAATAGGTTCCATACTTCCGAACAAGATTCTGGATTTTCTAAATAAAACTAAGGTTTAAAATATGGTATTTTTATTTTTATTTTTATAATTAGTAATTTGAAATAGAAGTTAACATCTGTTGTTTTCAAATTATTGCAGTTATTATGACTTCAGGGGTCTATTTGTTAGCACTCCTGAAAACACAAAGAATGGAGGAACAAGTATCATTGTAAACAAATAATATGAAAAATAATAAATTGAAGAATTAGTTAAAAAAAAATAAAATAAATTGAAGAATTAGTTAAAAATAAATAAAATAAATTGAAGAATGGTATATGAGATGAAGGAAGAAAGTGCCAGCAAAATAATTTGTTCTGAGCTAATCAAACATTAGGGTGATATTTCTAATGAAAATTCTACATATTTCAAAAAAATTAAATAGCAAGCATAGAAAACTCCTTTCCCAAAAAAGAAAAAAGACAGTACAGAAAACTATATGCCCTTACCATGGAGTAAAGAACTTCAAGTTAGCTATTTTTTCTTGTTGCAGCTGCCGACGCTACAGAGGTGACTGAGAAACCTAGCCTCACCAACCCAGTTGATAATAAGCCTCAATCCATGTCTGGAGTTGAGGATCTGTTCAAGGATTCACCCCCAATCTCTGCCATGTCGCTTGTTCCTGAGAAATCCCAGAAGGATGTAAAGAATGACATTATGAGTCTTTTTGAAAAGGTGTGATCTCATCTTCCATGCATGTTATTTTACTTTTCATATGGTCATAAAGATGTGAGGAAATTTACGTGTGGCTTCAATAGGCGGTAAGATGAGGGAAAGCAGACTTAGGTAGACTGGCAATGTGCATTGTAGGCTTAATATAACACAGGTGAGATTTGGTTCAAATGGAAGGCTCTAGGCAAGGGGAAAGCCCGAAAGGATATGGATGGAAGAAGTGAGGAAGGATATGATGATTTATGGTCTTACTGTGGGTATGAATCACAACCAAACAGAAAGGTTATAGCGATTAGAGTCTACATTGTTTTAGTGCTATTGTATACATGATTCGTGTAGCCGACCCCAAATAGTTGGGATAAGGCTCGGATGATGATAAGGATAGTCACAAAGGTGTGATTGATATTCTACAACTGAAACCAGCAGAGATCAATGCATGATTGCTTTATTTAAATGATAATTGGATAGAAACTACCTGACTACCTGAGTTCAGAAAATCAACTTTGGTTTTCTGGATTAGCCAACAGGTAGAGCTAAGCACCAGTTTTTTTCTAGTGAAGAAACAAACCCAAGGTTCTAAAATATATGACAAAAAGATCCCAGCATTCAGAAAATGATAGCGCAACTACCCTCGTTAACCCATATCTCATTTTCTGTTCTGTGAATTTAGTTGCTTGTTTTGGAAAAAAATCTGAATTATTCAGTTTGGAAAGTTGAGAGGAACGGAGTGCTACTGTATTGAGAATTCTGAATATGGCTATGGAAGGAGATTGAGAATTCTGAATATGGCTATGGAAGGAGAGAGAGAGAGAGAGAGAGAGAGAGAGAGAGAGAGAGAGGAGTATTGTTGTTGTTGGTGTAGTAGTAAGTAGTACGTCGTTCGTTGTTCGTACACCAGTAGTAGTAGACACAGTAGAGAGGTAGGTCGGTACACA